CCCCCCCCCCCCCCCCCCCCCCCCCCCTTTTTTTCTTTTTTTTTAAATTTTAACCAAGAGGTCCTTGGGTTAAGCTCTCCTTCTGGGAACCCCGGGGGTTTCGGGGGGGGTAATTCCAGGCCCCAAGAGGGTATTTTTCCGGGATGCCGTTGGGCTTCCCCCGCAGGGAAGGTTGGACCCCTTTTTCCCCCTGTCCCCAGGCCGGGCCGGGGGGTTTCAGAGGGGGTTCATGTTCCATTATTATCCCGGTTTCCCCTTTTCGGAGAAATTTTTTATGGGGATGTGAAGGGTGTTTTTTCGCCCATTTTCCTTCCCACAAAATTACGGAAAGGGGGGGGGGGGGGGGGGGGGGGGGGCGATAAGGCAACGCTGATTGCAGATGGACAAGTTTCAACGGGAGAAGAGGCCAAACTCACTCCACTGGGGAAAAGGGGATCGATCCACCCATAGTATCTTCGCTTGCTTTGATGGCTCTCTCCGCCCCTTTTCTTCGGGCTTCGCGCGAAATGCTTTATGTTTTTAGTTAGACCTTGCAGTGGAGGGCCCCAGACTATGTACAATCTGTCCTTGATATGAATTGGCTTGCGGACCCCGGCTCAAGTTTTTTTAGAGTGTACCTTTTGCAGGCAAGTTAGCCTGTGACCACGGGAATCGCTCGGGTAAGTGTTTGATCAGTGCGGGCAGATAAAGGTACTGGGTGGAGAGACCGGAACGGTTTTAATGAGAAGGCAACAACAACACATTGTTGGGAGGTGAGCCAGATTTTTGGGGAAACTGCTGCATCTATGTACGAATTGGTGCAATGTTCGGCAGCAGGATAACAACTATAAGCGAACACTCTGAAGTGTATGGTAAGGTAGCAATGGCCTTTGCTCGGACGGTGAAACACTGGAGGGCGTAAGTCTTGGCTCAACATAGGTGTTGCCTACAGGCGGGCGGCACTGCTGCCCGCAGCAGTGAATATCTACATGGGGGGATCATGTGCTGGCTCGCTGGCTCCGTATCACAAATTTGGATCATGTTCCCGCCCAGCGCGCCCAGCATCTCCGCAGTTCAAACAACAGCAGAAGTACACAGCTAGAGAAACACAAGGTGCCAGCATTGCGGCAGAAGGCACGCACATACCAAAACCCCGCCGCAAGCAAAAAAAGACAAGAGAAACATGTGGTCTAACGCCTAAGGTAATGTCAACAAGCTCCAACGGTCTCCCCTTTTGCTTGCCTGAGCATAGAAGCAGTCGATGTCGAAATGCACGATGCATCGATCGTGATTCAAGGAGTACTCCGGGGGCAGCCCTTGCTCTGCTCCTCCTGTTGGGGGCATCTCGCCTATTCGCCAGCCCTTTCCCAATACTATAAGCTCCCTCTATATTTCGTACCCATCGCGGGCATTTGCTAGGTTTGTTGGCGGTTCCGTTGTTGTTGTTGTGTTGTTGTCGTTGTTGTGTGTGGGTCGGGAGCGGTCTCCGTAGAGGGGGGCGGTACTGTACAAACTCTGTCCAATCACCTACCTCCTCTCCCTTCGTGCCCGCCTGCCGCCTACCGCCCCCTGCTGCCCTGAGGTGTCTTGCCCCGTGGGCGGTCGTAGCATAGGTGTGCTGCTATTCCACTACTACGGAGGGAGAGCATCTGCCAGCTCTCTAGTTCACCGCCAGATTTGGACAGCTTGCGTGCTTCGTGTGTACAGCAGCAGCATATTGTAGTCTTGCAGGTTTGGGGGCCGTCAAGCGAAGCATCATGGCAGTGGCGTCATCTTCGTGGCTACCGTCTCTGACTACCAACGCCTTGGCATTTGGCGCTGCGAGCTTCGCGTCTTCGGTTCTGTGCACGCTCTTTTCGCTATACGTGACTCCTGTCTTCACCAGTGTTTACAAGGCGAGTGCTGTGTAAAGGGAGGTACATGGAAAGAGACTCCGCACGAAAACCGGGGCTGGGGACGGGATGATGCACATGACATGCAAAGACCGGGTCCCCAAGCTCCCCATGTTGATGGCCACCCCATGTTGATGGTCTGGCCTGCCTGCTGTAGGTGCATGTGAGGGATGCTGGTGCTCTCCCTGTTGTTTCTGCTATGACCTCCACAACGAGACTTGCTGGCGACTCTTGGGTTGTTGTTGTGATTTCGATACTTGTACAAATGTACAATGCATGTGTGCAAAAACTGGTGCTATGCGTACGGTAACAATCGTGGTTTTGGATCCTCCTGCTTTGTCTGCTGTCTGCCGCGCGACCGAACCTGCGGGGGCCGTCTTTTTTTTTTCTTGTCTTCCCTTCAAATCAGCGCTCGTAGCACTTGAATTGTACCGTTTAGTCCAATCCATAGTCTCACAGGAGGACCCCTCTCCCTAAGGCTTCGTGCCCACCCCTCCTGCGGTACTTTCCTTTTGGTTTTTAATGCAAAGAAGAGTGCAGCGCTCTCTCCCCTCTGTGTAGACACGAACTATGTAAACAGCGCTTTCCACCCAGGCCAGGAACGGAAGCGAGAGCAAAACTCACTTTGCAAGAAAAGCTCGCTTACGCCGGGATTCGAACCCCTGATCCTGGCCACTAGACGTTTTTCGAGGGTACAACTAGAATACCGGGTCGACCAGCATGCCACCTGTTTATTGGCATCTCGACCGATTTCCTCGTGAGCCGATGCCGCCCTTGTTTTTAAAAAGCACAATTTAGACATATCGTGTACATGTTTGGTTAGCCAACCTCACGCCTGGATGCTAAACGAAGAAGGTTTGGCCACTCCTGCTAAACCGTCGGCAGATCGACGACAGGCATTTCTACGCCAGCCACGTCGTCTTCGCCATCTGGAACGCCATCAACGACCCCGCCTTCGCCTGGCTCATCGACAACACCACCGCTTCAGGCGGAGACCGCAGGTAGATCCCCCTCTCCCCCTCCCCCGCTCCCCGACCTCGCCTTCACGATGACGATGCCCGCCCCGAGCACATGTATACGTTCTTTGGACCTTCCGTTTCACAAACGGAAAACCGTGTTACCACCTGTGTGGTATGTTCCAGCCTTTTACCAGGCATTCACTTCCCCACCGCCTGTACAGCACACCGGCCTTTCCCTTTCCTGCCGCTTTTCTTCGCCTGTAGATACTCCATGGGGTAGGAAGACACAGTGCAGGCTAGTTGCTTCCGGAGGACAGTGTAGATTATATCTTGCTTTGGTCGAGACATTTTGTACGGTTTTGCCAGCGTGTGTCGACTGGTGGGTGGGCGCTTCAACAACCGCGAACAGGCACAACAAAAACAACAACCAGTAGGGAACAGGGCCTATTGTGGTGAAAAATCTCATCCATGCATGTACGGTTGTCCGTGCGCCAGGTTGCCGGCCATTAAGTACGGAGGCCCACTGTGGTGTCTGGCGTTTCTCATCCCGTGGTGGCCTTGGTCAACCGAGCCGGGCTCTTTCCTCGTCGGCTTGCACTTCTGCGTCTCCATCTGCATGTTCGACAGCTTCCTGACCTACGTGAGTGCTTGCTCCTGTGTGGCGAGTCGCCTCGCATGGTAGTCGTTGGCGTTTCTGCCTCGCTCGTCTTGACATCCCGCTGAAGATACGTGTCTCTCCCCAGAGCGCGGGCTTGCTTGGTTCGCTCAGGGATGACGCACCCCCTACATTTCAGCCATACATTCGGCACAAAGTGGTGGGACGCTACGCCGTATCGTCGGCAGCATCTCAGGGGATACTTGTGGAGTACGTTTCCCACCAGTGTTTTGGAATTCTGTGAGAAGGGGTATATCCGTTTTGGGGACGGTGACATCGCTCGATGAATCGGAATCTCTGGTCAAGGTTCGATGCGTACCGCGCTCTGATGTTTCAGAGAAGAGTCTGCACGCTAGTCTTTTATTCGGGTGGCAGCAGTCGTCACATCCGCATTGAACATGCTTGCTGTGCGTTTATTTTTTATCTAGGAAGGGAAGTAGCACCGAGGATGTGGGCTACTTCTTGAGGTCTCACCCAGCCTTCATGTTTTAAGTCTGTGTGACAGCGTCTCAAGCTGCGCTGTCAACTTTTCTGCCGCCAATGGCGGCGCTATCTACCCGATGGATGCGGATACCACGATCGCGGATCCGATCCATCCCGTGTCAAAGGGCTGCCATAAGGCTTGGCAAGATGTCTGTCTGTCCGTTGAGCCTTTTTGTCGGCCGCTCTAACCGTACCGCGTAACCGACAACAATTGACAGGTGCTTCTGGTACACTGCGCCCTTCTAGCTGACCTCACTACCGACAACACCGTGCGGAACAACTACAACAAGTGAGTTTGGCCGCCCTGAGCACCGTTTCAATCCGGAATGTGTGCGTGCCATGGAACAGCGCTTCGGCAGCTTAAGGAAGCGTGATACTCTGTAATATTCCGCGCACATCTGAGACATTTAACGAGGTTAGATCAAACCGTTAGCCATTCTCCACGAATATTTTCCGACACTTTTTGCCTCTCCTCTGGTATAATACAGAGAATTGTCTGGAGCTTGAAGATCTCGTCCCGGTGTTTTTGTTATATAGTATGGCTCAATTACGACAATGCAATGTGGACGCGTGTGGTGTAGTGGTAACATAAGTGCCTTCCAAGCACTTGCCCGGAGTTCGATTCTCCGTACGCGTAAAAACTTTTGTTTCTTGTTGATTTGCTTTTCTTTTTCCCGGTGTGGCCCCGTCAACCGATCGCCTTTGCCTCCGCACCTTAATTTCTGTCGCTTGGTTTACAGCAGCACAGCACGCGGCGAAGGTGAATTGTTATTGCCCCATCCACAATACCCTTTCCGTGTGACATAGCATTTCCAGGTTGTATACTAGCTCGATTGGGATTAACTACATCTTGTTGATCTCCCCCCCGGGCTGACGCCCCGCACCTTACCCACAGGCATCCTTGCAGACGTCTTATTTACTTTCCCACCAGGTTACCTCTGTCATTGTTATATGTATGCCCTTTCTGCGTCCAGTTGCCTGCTAGCTCTACCGTGCTATCCTGCCGACCTTGGCGATTCTGCTGTCATTGCAACTGTTGTAATGCATTTTTTTTTTGGTCATCGCCTCACACAATATTCAGATCGCGTTGGGCCCGTCCATCCACAAGTACGCCTGGCTTCGGATCTCAACCTTGCCCGTACTTTCCCTGCCATTTTCCCTCTCCGTTGGCAGCGTGGGCAGCCTGCTGGGCGTCGCGGGCGGTGCGGCAGGCGCGGTCTCGTACTACCTCTACGACGGGAAGGATATGGCCCCCTTCCGGTCCTTCTGCCTCGGGGCAGCGACCGTCTCGTGCCTCGGCTTCTGGTGGACCGGCACACGGCTGGACGTGGGAAGACTGGACACGTTCAGGAGGGAGGTGAGAGAAGCTTGGGCCTGTGCTTGGGGCGAGGGTTGGTGTTTGGACGGCTGGTCCTGGTGGCGTCGGTCTGACTTTTTGTGGATTATGTTGTTCTGTAGGTGCGATTGTTTATGGCCGTAGAGATATTTTGCTGTAGATGTTGCCGTTGATGCTGCAGTCGTAGTTGCTGCTGCCGCTGCTCCTGTTGCTGCTGCTGCTGCTGCCGCCGCTGCCGCTGCTCCGCTGCTGCCGCTGCTGCCGCTGCTACTTTCAGACGCACCGGCACCGAGAGAGTCCCAAACGACCTGACCTGAACCACTTCGGCTCAAGTTTCGTAAAAAAATACAACTAACTCCCAGCCTTCGCAACCAATCGCACTATCGCTACGGCCATCGGCGCGCCCAGGTCCCAGAACACGACCCATTGCTCGAAACCACCCCTCCGGCCTCCATCGCACACACGGCGCCGCTTGACGGCGCAACCAAACCCAACTCCCGGAATAACCAAGGCACCGCCGTCGGCATGCGTTCTCGAACTCCCACGAGGGACAGCGGGCCCGCTGGTTCCGGCGGGAGCGAGGGGGAGGCAGCAACCGTAGTGGCGGGGAGGGTGGCTTCGCAGCTGGGAAACGCTCCGTTGTCACCGAAGACGAGCACGGGGGGCGCCGTGGCTAGGGGCGGGCGGGAGCTGTCGTTTTGGGGGTTCACGAAGCAGCTCTCTTCCCACTGGAATTTCTGGCTGTACGTGCCCTGTTTCGTACGTACTGTAGACCGACGTGGTTTTCTGGAATTTTGTCTGCTTCGGGTGGCCTTGCGTGCTTACGCGGTGCAGTCTTGTCCTGCCGCTCAAATGTTGCACCCGCCAGCTCTTGCGCTCTTTTGAAACATCCCGGGTCGAGCTGCACTGCCGTACGCTACGTGGGAGCCCCTCATCTGCTACCTTTTCAACAACCTACGTTCTCTCGAGGACTCGTGGTCAATGTTCTGACGGGTAAGGTATGCAAAACGTTTGAGTACGCCCCCCCCCCCCCGCCCCCCCTTGTGTTTGTTGGTCCATGTGCCTCCCTGATGAAAGGTACGTGTCGATGAACTTCATGGAGAACTTCAACGCCTTGTTCGACCAGTCCTTCTTCGTCTTCCTTGACACCAAACTCTTCGAGAGGGTCGTGCCGAGGGGGCCACACGGGGTCCTCACCGCCCTCTGCCTCTACGCCCCGAAGGTGCGGAATACGGCGTTGACCCGCATCGCACTAGCGGAGCACTAAATTTGAGCATCCCTCTCAAGAATCATTCCATGTTTTGGAAAATATGAATTGACCAATGTTGTGTGTGTTTTTTGTTAACATCGACGGCGTCAATCGGCTGACCAATGAAATGACGTCAGCCTCAGTTAGGCTAAAAACGGGAAAGGCTTGTAGATGTCATGATCTGGGACCCCAGGGGTCACGTGGAAAGCTAGGCTGGGCTTTCCTCGGCACTGAAGACGGGAAAGATTCGATTCAATAGCTAGCGTTTCACTACGCCTCGCCACCGTTTACAGTGGCGTCCGTTTGTTCCCCTATTGATGTCTTCTTTCGCACTTGGCACATCACAGTGAAGTCTAGCGAAAAACCCATCTCTGGCCTCTTCTACCAACTCCCCCGACCAATTGACGTGGTACACATTTTCTTGTTGAATGTCGCGATTTTTTTCTGGCTGCCCTTCCTTGCCCGCCGACAGCTTGCAACTGCGCTTTGCCGCCCTTGATGAACATAAAAGGCCCACCCGATGGCAACGAACTGGTTGGGTCGCCACGCAGAGACATTCCTTCCCTCGGTTTGCCGGCGTCAAGCTAAGCCTTCGCGCCTAACAGATCACTCCGGCGGGCCACCCGGACACATCACGCAGAACAATCACCTAGGCAGATCAACAAATTTTCTGAACTCAACACTCCCCACGCCCAACTCCGCGCTCTGTCGTGCTCCCCCCCCGCTTGGTCAATGGCCTAACAACGAAGGTATGCAAAACAGGAGTACGCCCCCCCCCCCCCCCCCTCCTCCCAAACCAGGGGAGACGGAACGCCT